CATCACGGATGTGCGATACCTGTTAACGTTTTAACTCATAAAGTTCTGATTATTCACATTAGTTTGTACATAAGTAGTTTATTTTATTCTGTAAATAAATATTAATTATAGAAAACTTGAACGACTGAGTTGGTAAATTGTTTCTCACCTCTACACAGGAGGAGAAGTGTTGAGAGACCGACAGTCTCCTACAACTTCATGATTTAATTCCACTTGATTAAAAACACTTGTGAGTATTCCATGTAAGTAAAAGTCTGTGTAACAATCTGTTAAAATACAGCTGAATGCAGGAAAAAAACATGAACTTCATTCTAAATGTTAGGGGGAGGAGCCACAGACTCCCTGTCAAGGTTCCAAAAAATGTTAGGGGGAGGAGCCACAGACTCCCTGTCAAGGTTCCAAACAATGTTAGGGGGAGGAGCCACAGACTCCCTGTCAAGGTTCCAAACAATGTTAGGGGGAGGAGCCACAGACTCCCTGTCAAGGTTCCAAACAATGTTAGGGGGAGGAGCCACAGACTCCCCGTCGAGGTTCAAACAGAACAGTTTTTGTTTCTGGACGTCACATTCAGTAAAATTATCTGTAAAATAAACTGAACTTCCTGTTGGCTAATTATATCGCCACAGTTTTTCAACAGCATGATAGAATAAATTCTGTGATGGATTTTATTTTGGTGCCACTCCTTCTCACTGCTAACTCTGAAAAAACAAAAACAAAGCAGCAGCAGAACGTCAGCTGTAAGGATAGATTTTATTACATGAATTAATCCAATGGATGGGGAACGTATAATGAGACATGTTGAAGTGATAAAAACACAGACGGGTCGGTTCGGTTCTAAAMTCTTGGCAGCTGAAAGGACGTCGTCTCGAAGGTTTCTGGGTTTGAAGAACAAAACAAACAAAGAGCAGTAACAGGGAGGTCTATACTGGTTTGTAGTCCAACTTGGACTCCAGCTTTTTGGAGTCGCCCACCTTCCTCACTGCTTTCATGAAATCCTCCTGAGTCACGTACTCCCGATCGGAGCGGATGGCAAACAGTCCTGCACACAGACACGGGTCAGAACATGAAACATGCTCAGGACAAAGACGTGAACTTTTTAAAACCGGTTCTAACCTGCTTCTGTGCACACGTTTCTGAGATCAGCTCCGTTGAAACCGTCTGACAGCTTCACGATCGCTTCAAAATCTGGAAGGATGAAGAGAAGAATCACAGCTAACGTTTAACTGATACAGTTATATACACGTATCAGATATGTTTTAATACTAGCTGCTACATTTACTGACTGTTTCACCAAGTGTTTCCTGTAACTCCGGTTGTTCTGCAGCAGCTGGTTTGTTAAACATTAACTGACCTATTTCTCCATGCTTGGTGATGGGACTGGAGTGGATCTTCAGGATGTCTAGACGGGCCTGCTCATTGGGTAACTCGATGTCTGAGGAGGAAACAACAACTTGTGTTGTGTTTGAGTTCACACAGACCTGAGGTTTACATGAAGAGGGAAAGAAGAAACCTTACGGATTTTACGGTCCAGTCTGCCGGGCCGCAGCAGTGCTGGGTCCAACGTGTCGGGTCTGTTGGTGGCCATGATCATCTTGACTCTGTGTAGTGTGTCGAAGCCATCCATCTGGTTCAGCAGCTGAAAGAACAAGAAAATCATTTGTGACTCATCATTCCCACACAGGCTCCCTACAGTTTACAGCAAGTTACATTTAAGACCTTTTAATACCAACAGAAATTAAATTTAAGACTTTTTAAGACCTTTTAATACCAACTGAAGTTAAATTTAAGACCAATTTCATAATAAACACTAATGAAAAAATAAGACTGGCAGAAACTCATGAATCAAAGTATTTTTGGTTGAAGTATTCAAATATTGATAATAGACCAATTGTTTTTATCCATAGCTGCTTTTTTCATCAAATATAGCAAAACATTCTTAGCAGTCAGTTTAACGACCCAAAATTTGGAGTTTTAGGACCCACAGTGGGGTCTTAACACCAATTTGCTGTAGATGAAACCTTAAAGTGACATCAAAATTTGTAAGAAAATTTAACGCATTTTTGAAAAGACAATATTAACATATCACAAAATGAATGTCACGTTGCTCAGATAAACAGTTGTTGAGATATTTTCATCTAAGTAACAGGAAGTGATGTCAAAGGGGAATGTCTGCATGTGAATATTCAAAATAAATAAATGTTACCAATTATTTTAATATTTGAGATGAATTACAATCATCCTAAATACAATGTGTTAATGTTTTTAAGACTTGAGAAAGATTCATTTAAGACATTTTAAGGCTAATTAAGGCCTTATTTTTGGATTGATGAATTCAAGGCCTTTTAAGACTTTTTAAGGATCTGCAGGAACRCTGACACATGAGGATTAAGTTCAATTTGTTCAAAATGACTTCATTACAGTTTCAGTTTCCAGGTTTTAAAAGCTTAATTTTAATTCCTGGATCATTTTGATATAAGTTTATCCAGAGATATGACCTAATCTGTCTTGTGGTTGTGATAATAGATCACTGTTTGGTCCGAATCCTGATTTTAGGTAAATTTATTGAGTCATTTTTGGAGGAAACCTTAAATAGTATTTGTATATTAAGATTTCCCAGTTGGAAAGAAACAAAGACACTGATAGCTCACAGGTAAAAATTCAAAATTTTTTAGGCATTTTTCCTCAAAATAATTTTTTTGTTGCTACTGTTAAAAAAATGTCTCAAATAATTTTTAAGGATTATATTTCAGACAGTTCATTCAAATTATACATTTATAAGGCATTAATTAATTATATTTTGATGAAATGCGATATTTGCACGTTTAAATCTTTTGGAATTTTTTTGTCACTTCAGTAGAAAATGAAACCAAATATTAGTTTATTTATTTCTTCTTCATCAGACATTTTTTTAAGTCTAAAATCTAAATCTTTTGGACTTAATCCTGGTTTCGATGTGACGGGTCACATATAGTCTCTGCTTAGTTTTAACATCCAAATGCATGATTCCATGTGAAGATCAGACCCATCTATTATCAGCCAATCAGCTCCCCATCAACAAGACCCACTGAAAGGATCAGACTGGTGGGTTTCTATCACCTCCATCAGAGTTCTCTGGATCTCTCTGTCGGCTGAAGTTCCCTCAGAGAAACGACGACCCCCTACAGGAAACACAGCAACACTTTATAAAACACAAGGTTGCTGCTCAAACGCTTGCAGCAGGTATGTRTGAGAAGTTGTGTGAGCCTCAGAGGTTTGTTACACAACATTAGAGATCAAACTCTGACTTGATTCAACACAGCAGCTCCTCTTCCTCACCCACCTATAGCATCGATCTCATCCATGAAGATGATGCAGGGCTGGTGGTCCCTGGCGTAGTTAAACATCTCTCTGATGAGCCGGGCGCTCTCACCGATGTATTTATCCACGATGGAGCTGGACACCACCTGTAACACAACCAGAGTCAGAGAGGACACACACACACACACACACACACACACACACACGCCATGATGTCACACCCACCTTCAGGAAGTTACAGTCCAGCTGACTGGCCACTGCTCGGGCCAGCAGAGTCTTTCCAGTTCCTGTTTCAGAAATAAACTTTTACTTTGAAAGGACGTCTTTGATAAATATCACAGTGTATAAATATTTCTAAAACATGTCACCATCAGAACAATGTTGTCCAGTGATGGTTGTAGGAACAGCTGCGTACCTGGGGGTCCGTAAAGCAGACAACCTTTGGGGGGGATGATGCCCACCCTCTGGAAGAGCTCAGGGTTTGTCAGAGGAAGTTCAATCACCTGCAAATTCAGAAGCAGGATTATTTCTGCAGTAGAGACATGTCAGCTTCATGATAACAGCCCAGAAAAACACTCAGACACTTAACGACAGGCGGGAACAGCAGGTATCAGGTGGAACTTGTTTAATATCAAAACGTTTTTTATTTTCATCAAAGTCACAAGTTTCCAMCKATTTTCTCAGTTTTAGTGTCGTTTTAAACTGTCAGAGTTCTCTGTCATTTTATCTCGTTCCTCTGGACAGAACTGGTGGACCTGAGTCTGGTTTATAGGTGTCCTCACTCACACACCTCTGCAGGTCTGCACAGGTCTTTGTGCTGGTCGCTCCAAAACATGGACTGTGTTCTCCTTAGACCAGGACTTCTGATCCTGTTTGACCTCAGGGCCCAATTTATTGAACACAAAGTGACCTGAGGTCCAGTCAGACATTACCAATGTATGGATCAAAAT